TTAAATTAATACTTTTGCATCAACTTTAATAAACATTAAGAGTCATGAATAGACAAAAAAGTGGTGCTCAAACGCAACTCATTGAAAATTATTTGTTAGTGTGATTTTTGCAACATTTCAGTCCGAGTAATAAAAGCATTTCTAAACAAGAAGTTCAGTAATTAAGGTGAAAGTGTTTCCTAATGCACAGAGCAAACCAAACGTTAAATAAATATTGCATGCCAATTGTAAAGCATGGTGGTAGAAAGGTAATGATTTGAGCTGGACCTAAGCACCTTAAAGGGGTTTTACACAAAATGGTTCCATGTTCAAAAAAGACAAGGCTGCCTCTCATCCACAAATGCACCAGTTTAGCTGGTCATGTTCCACAACGTGAGCTTATAAAACATGAAGCCTGTCATAGAGCCGCAACAGTGCTGAAATAAAGAACTGCACATTGAATGGGTGTTGGATGTAATCCACTCTAAATTCCTGAGCTGGCTGCTCACACAAATTGTTTGTCATTACTGGATTAAACTCCATTGCCAGCTCACCCTTACACATACTGTCCATTTTGGCTCTGTGACTACCTCCCTCAGCCTCTCAGTCCTCCTTAGTTGGTCTATAAGCTGGGACGAAGGCATCTCAGGCTCAGATTGCAAGTGTTTTGTAAAACGGGTGAATGAGTCAACCATGAATTCCTCCTGCAATCTAAAGTTTTATCATGAAATATGAGGCCATTTGCCTGACAGCAGAAGCATCGCCAAAAAAACATAAAAAATAAAAAAAACGGGCCACCCAACAGGGCAATGATCTGCAGCATATAGCAACGAATTTAAAATAAAATGCCTCAAAAAGTAAGGTGTTTAATGAGCCGGACAAAATCCAGACCTGAATATAAACGACATGCTGTGATAGGGTTGTGCAGAAGATGATTACCTCAAGTTGCTGCAGCTAAAATTGGCTCTGCTGAATCATTTTCCACATGCAGCTTCAGTATTTTTGGCTCATCTTTAATTAAAATAAACACAGCCCATCATATATTATCAATCACCTGGTTTTAATTTCAACACCTGGTGAGGAACACATTATCTTTTTGAGGATAATAAGTTAAAAACTAAATTTGTTCCTCCTTTTTACCTTGACCATGCATATTAAAGACCATATTCTGCATTCATAAAAACGGACACCTTTTTTTAAACTGACTTTTTATGTTGTAGGCTCCGTTGTTGAAGATCAATGAGAAGATGTCATAGACGGATCGATTGGCATCCAAAGTGTTGGAGTTCTTGTGGTGACACACGAAGCCATTCTCTCCACGGAGGATCAGCATCGGGCGGTTAATGAGTTTCATCAGGAGTAATTCGTCATCACCTGGAGAGAGCGGTACACGTTTGTCTGGCACGTATGGACTGATACAGAAGTGATTGTGGCAATAAGTGAGTTGCCTAAAAAGCACTTACCCACTGCGTCGCTGACCGCTGAGAGCTGCCCGTTTTTCTTTGTGCACACATACTTCCCATTGCTTGCCTTGAGTGCAACCCTGTGTCCTCGCCACTCAATGTCAAACATTGTGTTGACCTCTCTGGAGGGAGGGGGTGGGGT